TCCAACAGAGTTCGTTTCCAACAGAGTCGCGAAAAAGGGTAAACGTCAAACACGTCCCGTCGTGTTTGGCGGGATATTAAACGGCACATCGGTTTCTGTGTCGCGGATGATTAACACAGGGATCGTTCTCTTTCGCTGATGCACGGTTTCCCGCATTGTCCCGGCTAGTAATCAAACGGGGGGATATTAAACCGGCTCCTCGTTCACAAACGAGCAACGATACTCGGCAGGGTAATTACGTTCCGTTCGTTCGTTACGATTCTATGTACACAACGATTCTATATCACATCGATAAACGTATGGTAGATCTATCGAAATTAAAAATATTAATCCGCTATTAATACGAGAAATATCGAGGAGGTTCGAATATTTGTCGTGCTTGCGTAGACACTTTAAATACGGAACATCGGTCAACAATTTTCAAAGTTCAGAATCTTCCATTCCGATCCGTGGAATTAACGAGAGAAAGAGAAGCTTTTCCATCTCTCTTTTTCCCCTCTCTCTTTCTCGCCCGCAGAAGAAAGGAAAGAAATTAGTCGAAGAACCCTTTGTTCGCTTTCTTTTTTCACTTGCTCGAGCACACGACCGAGCTGCACCTTGACCGAGTTCCTTCTTCCAATTAGGCGTTACACATTTCACGGGGAGGAAAGAGAAACACGAGGGAACGGGTGGAGAAAGGGGTAGAGGAACGAGGAAACGTTTAACGACGGGAGGGTCAAACCAGAACTGGCTACTTTTTTGCGAAAGAGTTAAGTATCCGTTTGTACAAACGATGGAAACTGTTATTTACTTGGAAATTGAGAAGAGGCCAGAGAGAGAGAGAGAGAGAAAGAGAGAAAGAGAGAGATGGGTCGATCTAAATACGCGGGACGTCAGGCATAGCATTAAAACGAAGGGAATCCGATTAATGGCCAGTTCTGGTTCGAAAGCACGCGAGAGAGTTTCATGGGCGAAGGAAGTGGTCCAACCAAGAAAGTCGGGGAGACACGAGGAAAGGAACGCGGCGGTGACTGAAATACTTGGGTTTAAAACCACCAAAAGGAGTATTACTGACTGTGACCTCGATTCAGCGTGCTCAGGGACCTGGCGATGCCCGACCACCAGAGAATTGTGGCCACGTAACCGATCCACCGCATCCTGATCCCTGAAATCGGAAACATCAGTTAGATACAGGTGTTTGAACCTCTTCCATCCCCCCTCCCACTTTTTTTTAATCCGAGATATGAAGTTTTATTTGAAGGAATAAGATATTAGATTAAAAATTAATGGCCATTGATTTTCAATTCATCGTTCGTCGTGTGAAAAATTGAAATCTTTTTAAATCTAATTTTTTCGCCGGATATCTCGTTATTTAAATACGAAAAATTAACAGTTTTGACAGATGATCTCGAGAGAGAGACGTCAAGGATAGTTCTAAAAACGGATTAATTTTCAATATTGAAGATATTTTCTGTGTCTGAAGTAGAGATTTTATTTCAAATTCTTGTGATTTTTTGAGAAAATCAAAATTGGATATATATAAAGAGAAGAATATGTGATCGACGAATTTTAATTAATTCAATTATCTCGAAAATATTAATTCAAAACTTGAAATAAAATTTTACTTTTCATATTTACATCCAATCCAGAAATTAGCTAGGAATTCCAGAAACTTGAAAAAAAATTTAATTTTCTCAGAAAGTAGAGAAATTTTAGAAAATCCTATATTCGTCTTATATTTTCAATATATTTTTTCAATAAATAACCACTTAAATCGATTTAACGTCTCAACAACAATCTAGATTTCGCAGAAAAAAAAAGAGAAAAATTTTACAAAGCGTAATATTTCTACGCGCGATTCTTTTCAAAAAAAAAAAAAAAA